CCAATGGTAAAAATACGATGTTTACTCTAAACAAATAAAGATGTTAGGCGATTTTTGAAATTTTATTTTATTCTTTCAGTTATTTATTTATTTTTTTCCCTATCTAGTCATTTCCAATGTTCCTCTACAGAACATATTAAAACTGTGATAAGAAAAAACTTTGCCTATCACAGTTTTTATATGCTTAAAATGGATATAAACAGTAGAATTTCATGAAATTTAAACGTATCGCTATAAAAAAAACAAGGGGTGGTGAATAGTTTCTATTCTTCTAGCTGCTTTGTGTAGGAAACTTCATTATGCTTCTAGTTTAACAAATATGCATAATAATCTAACTAAATTTAGTAATTAGGTAGCATTGTTCTCTAAGTTTGGTGGGAAATTTTGCCATTGAAACTATAATAGCTGAGTAGCATTGCTATGATTGCTCCTCTAGAGAAAAAGAAACAATTGTTTTAACTTTTTTTATTTTTTCAATTACAAAATAGGAAAAAAAAGTAAAGGTTAAAGCAATCAGTTAATCAATTCTCTCTGTCCACTGAATGGAAAATGTTATTAAGTAGATTTGTCTCCTTTAACAATTCTCGACAGGAGGGAGTTTCTGTGTTTTACAAAATTGCCATTCTCAGCGAGAATTAACATTATTCTTTCTGTCGACNTAAATCTTTGCAATTTCTTCCTTGGAATAATGTACGGCTATGGTTTGGTTCGTATATTTGAAAATATAAAAGTGAAGTGCAAATATACTCTTCATATATCACGACTTATATCGTATGGATTTTGGGATGAAGAAGGAAATTTATAAAAGTTTCAATTATCAAAAAAATATAACTTAATAAGGAAAAAAAACGCCTACACAAAAATTATCATACGTTTGAAAGCTGTTAAGAAAAATAATTTATGAAAATTATAACTAAGATAAGTGGAAAAGAAGATGAATATATTCACTGTCAGCATCTTATTCCTCTTCTTTATCATTATTTTCTCTTCTTTATTATTTAGAGAGAGAAAGAATAAGATGAATGAATTACATAAAATGAAAACTGTGCACTGAAGATGAATTAAATTTTTCTGGTTTTTCCTTTATTTTAAATAATAATAATTTAAAAAATCGTTTCAAAAATATGAAAGATTTTCATTAAATAAATGAAATTTAATGCCTCAAATGTAATTAAATATGTAAAAAATATTTAAGCACTTAATTAATTTGATATTAAGCTTATTATTATTATTATTTTATTATATTTTCTTTTATTTTCTTATGATTCTTACTTGAATAAATCTCAAATATTATTATTTTTTTCTTGAAAACTTCTCCGATTTTAACTTTTTTTTACGTTATACAAAGCACTTTTATATTAAATTTTGGATTAAAGGAATGTGATCATGCAAAACTATAAGCAATATGTAAGTATAGCATGAAAGAAATTGGAATATTCTTAGAAAGGATTTTGAAGAAATCACAAATGTCATTTGAAATTTGCCAATTTCTACGTAGGGTCCATAACATAAGAACCATTTTATAAGAATTACAATATAAACCAATTTTCGATGGTTTCTCCTACACGCAATAAAATTCTGAGTCTAAGATCAATAAAAAGAGCAGACATATATCTCAATTTTAGTCAAAATCTGGTCGAAATCATGCAATTGAAAAGAAAATTTCGATTTCAAAAGTTATCACCCTCACCGATTGAAATATCAAATATTTTCTTTGCCATTCATATCTTTAAAAAATGATTTTAAAATTGCAAAATGATAAAATTACGAAGCAATGATGGAAGAGAGCAGAAACAACGTTCGATACTCACGCATGACTGCTAGAAATACTTTATTGGTTCGAGACAAGTGAATTTTAGGAGGAATTAAAGCTACACATCTGCGCCTATTTAAAAGAGCCTACTCAGGTAAATGATTTTGCATTGACGCTATTTGCATACCAACAACTTTAGCAAGCAATCAACAGTAGAAAGAGCAGTTTACTAGCTCAGTTGAGAAATCTCTTCTGCAACAGTATCCGACACAATTCCCTTCAGACATCTTTCAGACAGTTCGCTACTTCTTCCTACATTTATCCTAATCCTTCTCCGCAACTAAACTTTCACTTGTTTTATTTACTTTACAAAGCTGGTTTTTTTTTTATATCAGAACAAACAAGATACATCCGAGTTGATTTTTTGTTTGCGCATCTGACGTTCGTCTCGAGAAAAAAATAAGTTTAATCAGAAGAAAACTTGATATTTTGACATGAAAGAGGTAACTATCGCTTTACTTTTTTTGTGATATTAGTCGAAAGAATTGATGCTCTACACCATATTAGAACCCAGCAGGTGCAGCTGCAGGTATAGCGATCAATCTTGTCAACTTCTAAAGCTTACAACTTCACGTCCAGGCGACGTCACGAAACATACGGCCCATTACGTCACGCGTAGATAGCGTGATAGTCGGTGGACAGGTGAGCCGACACCATCCATCACGCACCCGACTGATCTTATTTGGCTGACGTCAACCGTCACGTGGTACACGCGTGACTGATTGCGAACACCCCACAGGAAGTTGTTTCACGACGACTTCCGGCGACATGTTCGCACGCTTATGAAACATTTAATCGGCACATTTCTATGTGGAAGAGAAAGCAACCTTACATCTTTTTTCCTGATAAATGTGCATATTGCTCTAAATACATTTATCTCGTGGGAAATCATTGGTTGAGATGGTTCCTCTCCTTTTACCAAATTCATTATTACCTTAGAGGAAAATTGAAAAGGATGTTATATAAGTTGTTCGTGACGTAGTTTAGCAATAAGAAAATATTTCCTATTACAATCAGTGGTTTGCTTTTATAGCACCTAACAATATCCCAATGGTAAAAATACGATGTTTACTCTAAACAAATAAAGATGTTAGGCGATTTTTGAAATTTTATTTTATTCTTTCAGTTATTTATTTATTTTTTTCCCTATCTAGTCATTTCCAATGTTCCTCTACAGAACATATTAAAACTGTGATAAGAAAAAACTTTGCCTATCACAGTTTTTATATGCTTAAAATGGATATAAACAGTAGAATTTCATGAAATTTAAACGTATCGCTATAAAAAAAAACAAGGGGTGGTGAATAGTTTCTATTCTTCTAGCTGCTTTGTGTAGGAAACTTCATTATGCTTCTAGTTTAACAAATATGCATAATAATCTAACTAAATTTAGTAATTAGGTAGCATTGTTCTCTAAGTTTGGTGGGAAATTTTGCCATTGAAACTATAATAGCTGAGTAGCATTGCTATGATTGCTCCTCTAGAGAAAAAGAAACAATTGTTTTAACTTTTTTTATTTTTTCAATTACAAAATAGGAAAAAAAAGTAAAGGTTAAAGCAATCAGTTAATCAATTCTCTCTGTCCACTGAATGGAAAATGTTATTAAGTAGATTTGTCTCCTTTAACAATTCTCGACAGGAGGGAGTTTCTGTGTTTTACAAAATTGCCATTCTCAGCGAGAATTAACATTTGCTTGCACTTCTTTTCCTATCTTTAGAAGAAAAAGAAGGAAAAAAATCTTCTGTAATTTTGTTAATTTTAATTGATTGTAACCGAAACAAGTATCAATAACAAGCGCACCGGAACCATTAAGTTTTCTAAAAATGAAATTTCATTTTGATGTAAGTTGAATAAAATTATGAAAATTATTAAAATTTTATGNAGCATAAGCCTATATGAAGGAACACGTCTCTAAATGGGAATTTACACAATTGCACTATTTGTTATACTACAACAGTAACAGATGCTGTCCTAATACTATTATGGTAATCAGGGTTTATTCCAACTATTCGGGAGTCGATGATGGATCAAGAGCTCTATAATTGTTTGAGGAACGTCAATCTGTTTGTCTTTCATCGTGGAAAACTAACATCTGTTGAATAGTACAGATAATTAAATGGACGAGAAATTGTAGAATAAAAAAAATAAAAAGAAAAATGGTATAAATATTATTCCAGTAAAATGTCTTTCTTTGATCGAATATCGAGTATCTTTAGCCATTTTGATTAAACTTCTAACGTTCTAAAAATGTTCGATTACATAAAGACATAGCAGTACAATTTTTAAATTTAAAACATTTAAATTCACTAGATATTAAATTTACTGTTAAAATACAAATATTTTATACTTTTATATATATATATATTTTTTCCTTTTCCGTGTTTAAACTTTTAAAATAAATGATATAAACTGAATTTCTTTAAAAACATAACATCCACATATATCATTTTTTTAACCGGTAAAAATAATAAATGTCAAAAAGAACTTGCTTGTTCATCTTTCTGTTCTCGTTTCTCGTCTTAAAAAGCCAAAATGGACGAAGATTTCCATTTTGGGGTTTGTAAAATAAAAAAATAAAAAAAAAAAGAAGAAACTAAAATAACGAAGAGGAGAAGGAAGACGAATATTCCTCGTCATACAGGAACATGTTCCTCTTTAAACGTGCTCCATGAACAAGGAACATGCACATTTTCTATTACTATCAAAAGAACAAAAAACGACTGCTTCCTCTACTTCTACTTCTTAAAGGATAAGGAATGTTTCTTTTTCTATCACTTTCGATTTTTAAAGAAAGATTTATTCTTTACAAAATGAGAAATAGGAAAAAGAAGAAAAGGAGCTGTATTTGTTATCCTTTAAGAAGTGGGAGAAAAAAGCTCTCTTTCGCAAAAGAATTGCCACTTCTACATGTTCCTTCCACTCCGAGAACAATCGCATTTATTTCTTTGACAATTAAATACTTCTTTTCAGCAACATAACCATTCAAACAGTCATTTTGGGATGATCTCCCAGTATCTATGCAAATATTTATGTGGAGAAACAATAAACGTTCTGAATTTTTATTAAAATAGCGACTTTATGTTAGCCTTAGCTGTGTAAATTACTAAAATAAATGGTGTTTATGTTTACAATTAAGAATGTAAGCGTGAAGTTAAGAAGTAATTAAAGAACTATATATTCTTTCAGGTATTCACGGTTTAAAGATGTGCGATTTGGATGTACCTGGTGCTGTAATTGCAGGTAAATCCGTATGGCTTAGGTGCGGTTACGACTTAGAAGAAGACGAGTTATATTCGGTAAAGTGGTACAAGAATAATGTGGAGTTTTATCGTTATCTTCCAAGTGACGTTCCGCCAGGTCAGAAGTACGATCTCCTGGGAGTTTACGTTGACGTGAGTATTCTACTTTTATTCACCTAAAGGTAAAGAAAAAGAAGAAGTTTTCTGCTGTTTTTTTACTAATTTAAAGTTGACAGAATAAATTAATTTAAATTAGATAATTATTCTCGATCACGAAAGTTTGTTTTGGAAGACGAAGAGCAAAACGTGACGAAAGAAATAACATTTTAAACACATTACCTACATCAATTAGAGTAGAGATTGAGTTAATTAGCAATTATTAATATTCATGCGCTATGGTGATTGCTTGCGTGCGAAATTTATAAATACCACAAGCCAAACAGTTGTTAAAAGCATAATGAGACTATTACGGGAATATTCTGCTCTTTACTAAACACGAATCCTCTCCCCATCAATAATCTGATCGTTTGTGAAAGAGGTGTTTGTTGATGGAAATCGGAAATGTGTAAATGTTTCCCAGTGTATTGTTTGTGTCAAGGGAAGTCTTCTTTTGTTGAAAATACGATCTTCTTTCAGAAAAGAAGCTATTTTCTTTGTATCTAGTCTTTACGATGATGAAACGTTCTTCGCTATATTCTTTGTTCTTTAAAATAAAAAATATATTTTCGTAGGAACGTTGTAGTTTTCTCGATAGTTCTATGATTCCTCCTTAAAATATAGTATATTTTTCCTTTAAAATTTAAAGGTTTGGTGCCATAAATGTGTGTCATATTTTTTAACTTTTTTTTATTTTTTGAGTTTTTACGAAGCACTTTATAAGATTGAACGCTCTCAAGAAATTAAATATCCTATCTAAGTTTTAGTTTTAATCAAAACTCGTACTATAGAAAGTTATTGGATTTGTGGTTACTCGAGATCTTATCTCAATTTAGATCATCCTGTGCTTTCTATTTTACTAGAAATAAAGAATCTATATCTAATCTTCACATGAAATAAAAGTATTTTCATTTCTTTATCATAAAAAAATGAATGAATCGCACTTGAAACAATACATAATTCAAATCGGAATTCAAAAAATTCTCATCGTATGTTTGAGTTAAGAAATAATAAATTGTTATTTTTGTGAATCAAGTAGAAATAGAAACAAAGAAGGGCACTTTTTCTCATGTCCTATCTTCAGAGCCCTTATTGAATAAGAGAAAATCATTTTTAAGAATAGAAAAAAAATGCTTTTTGGTCTCGAATCTCGAATAGTTCTTATATTTTATCAAGATTGAATCGTAAGAATTCATGTCCTTTCTAAAAACTAGCTTTTATATTCTTCAATACTTCGTTGCTTTAAGAGTAAAATATTCTTTTCTGTTCTCGAAAACTTTTTCCATACTTTTTTTTAGAAGAACAACTCTTCTGTACCCAATTCTATCTTCTTCCGATCTGTAAAAGTCTCTTGAAGATAGGAACGAAGCCCATCACGTCATCTTCACTTTTGCTATCTAAAACCCTTTTCTTATATCTTTACGTCAACTTCTAGTAATATACAAAACAAATCGAATTTATTAATTTTTCTTGTCATTAACTAAGACTATATACAGATTGGGAACAATGATGAATCAACTTGCTCTCACTCGCCATACTACACACATATCTCATATTATCCTATTTTGTTCCAGTTAATAACTTGTATAATAATTAGTATTACGAATTTAGATTCAGGCCGTTATTAATTTGTTGAAAATTGAGGTTTGTAAACATAATTGAAATTGTAAATTGTTCTGCATACATAGTACGGTGCTTTAAGTAAAGAATGCTAAAGTAATAAATCTGGTATATTTATAAATTCAGTTAAGATCATTTAAATCTATTAACCATATTATTATAGTTATCATAATTTTCTATACCGTGCATTTTAAATGCTTGATTGCGTTTAATTGGTTTCTGATTATTTTTCGACATTTAAAGAATATTTAATTTTATAATTTCCATAATATTTAAACTGTAAGAATTTACTAAATGAATATCAAAATTTTAAAAGTATTTTTTTTTACTAAAAACACTCTACAAATTGAACGGATGTTAATGTGAAGTGTCATAGATTTTACCTAATCATATTCATGTTTCCTTTCAAATTTCCATAAAATATTGTTGTTAATTCTGAAAAAATAATTCTTAAATAATTTGTACATAAAATTTTTAAATTTCTAAACAATATTACAAATGAAAATTGTTATATTTATTCATAATTATTCAATTTAGAATTGTTAAAATCCTATATTAATCATCAATTCTAAAGCTCTTAACGATCATAAAATCTTATTTCGCAAATTGAAGAGCAACTAAGCTTAAATAAACAAAATTTCGAAAATATGATTATTGGACTGTAAATAAAATATGTAAATATAACCACAAAACATTTTATTAATACCAGAATGCACTTAAAAGCAATTTAATTCGAAATAAGCAAATTTAAACAAATGTATTTGTATACCTACGTATATTATTTAGATAAAGATATTTTTATTCTTTAAGTAAATAGTATTTGTCATATAACAACTTTAAACTGAAACGTTTAAGTAGCTAAAGTCTATAAAGCTAAGTAACTATTTGTTTAATAAAGTTGAATATATTAATGACAAAGTTTAGATTATGCTTTCAACTTTTGTTCAAGTGATTTTGCACACTCAACATAAAAATAATATAAATTTATATCATAAAATTATATATTATATATAAACTTTATTACTACGAACTGCCAGTGGTAATGTCATTCCAATATCTTATCAAAGGAACAATTTCCTATGGAACAATGCTCCAATTTAAAGGAACCATTAGAACCCTGTAAGACCTTTTTCCTGAATACATGCGACGATGCGGGTCAGGGGCATGAAGGTGTATACTCTCCTGCAACAGATTTGCCTAAAATGTTGCAACTGTCCCTTCAGATCTCTCACACTCGTAGATGACAGAAACTGGCATTTCATTTGGTCTCACAAATACTCGAAGGGTGACAAATCTGAAGGCCGGGCAATCCCAGGAAGTGTGGCCTGCAGTCGAGTATTATTTGTTGGAAAATGGCTGTTTGTAAATCCTGCCGTGAAAGACAACGCGAGGGCGCAGGATTTTTTAAACGGATTGTTGTGCGTCAATGTTCCTCGTACCACAACTAGGGGTTTCCTGTTGTCATGCGAGATTGTTCCCCATACAGGAAGGTGTAGTAATGGGGGCAGTGTGCCCCTCAACAGTAAAGGCGGTATTGAAGTATTCTCCAGGGATCCACCACAGTATATGATGGTCGTTCGTTCCTAAACATAACCAGGATTCTTCGCTGTAGATTATACACTGTCATTCCATAGCAGTCCATGCATCTCTGTCACGTCATCACTGCAAACAAAGCGGCAATTTTGGGGTGCTAATGGTAGGACTCCTAGTAGTCGCCGTACAGTACATGCAAATTTGTTTTTGCTAGTCGCCTGTCAATGGTAAGGGAAAAGATAGTGTTCTGTAGTGAGGCTTGCACCTGTCTCTAGATGATAAACAAATGTGCTGTTGCAGCTGTTCGTGCTTCTCTCATGAAACAAACCACCAGAGACGATTGTCTCTCTGATGATTTGTTTAGGGCGTCTAGAATCTATCTGCTGTGCATGTGTGCTCTGACTGTCAGCGCAGATCTGCCCAAACGGCGGGCAATTCAGCAAAATGACCACTCTGCTTCTCTCAGCTCAAAGATGTGACCTTTTTCAAACTTCGCCAACCATGGATTGTTCCTGCCTGGAGATCGAAGACCTCCGAAGAATAAGTACAATGGAAATTTTAAAAACAGTGAGCCTGTGCAAGCATTTTTAAAAGTTAATCAGATAACAACTTTAAGGCATTCTGGCGGCATTACATGCATACAATCTCAACTATAATCTAATCACAACTATAATTATTTAAATATCTGTCTGAGACATACTGTAGCTGTACTGTCGGAGCTTTACACTTATCTGATTGCCAAATTTTTTATCAATGATTACATACATACTGAGTAAACATAATTAGAGTCCCGTGGACTGAGAAGGTGAAGAGTTATCGAAAATGACGAGTTTACAACAGTCTAAATAGCGGAATTTTTGTAAACGTATTATATGTGCATGTTCATATATATATTAACTATGTGCCAATAGTAATTATTTCTATTTGTAGTTATATTTAAATTTTAAAAAAATTGGCTACATGGTGGCTACTTTCGAGTTAGTGATATTCGCGTCTTGGTATTTTGCAGTGGCACCATGAAAAAAGGTTTATATTCTTTGTTAACATGCGGGTTTAATGCTATTATCAAATGTCGCCAGTGAAGAACAATAACTTACTTGATTCTAGTGTTAAGTTATAGAAGTAAAAATTCATCACTTCATATGCAACCAAATTTGGTGGGATACATTTCAAGACACGGAAAAGACATTTGCGCAAAAAATTAATACCAAAAATTACCATAATAACACTTTTAACACCAGGATCATAATCCACGTGATTTTTGGTTTCGAGGATATTTAAAAAATATGTTTTATCGAGGACATGTTACAAATTTGACAGCTTTGAAAGAGTATCGCACTGCATGTGAGAAGCATCACATAGGATCAATTACGGTCACCATTAAACACATTCATTGTTCATCGCCGTCAGGTTTCACACCTCCAGAATGGAGACCACATTGAGCAGTATTCCCTGCATCGCTAAAGTCTCTGTACAGAATGAGTTTTCGTACAAATAAAATGTTACTTTCAGCGCTAAAAGTGTTAGAGTTGTGACTTTTTTTTTACGGAAATTTCTTCCGCATATCCTGAAATATCTCCCATACGAAATTTGGTAATATTTGGACTACTAAATATTTCTCTAGACAACATTGAATAGAAATACAGTACTTTAGTTACGATCATTCGGTATATAAAATTTATTTTATTAAGAAATGTTTTTTTTTTATATTTGCTCATTTAGTAATTAAGTAAATACTTTTAAAATATGAAATATCAATTAACTTACGTGAAATAAATTGAATTTTCGTAACTTAACATTTAATCTTTCTACTAATGATTAATAAATTCTGCATTGTAGTTTATTCAAAACTCTTCCAAATTTGTAAAACTATTTTTCTTGATAATGTAGAGCTTGAATGTGTTTTCTGTCTAGCCAGAAACCGTTTTAAATCTTGCACAAGGCGAGAAGAATGATAAATTCTTCTCGGAACGTAAACATTTTAAACCCATTTTGATATTGATCATTCTGTTTAGGGAAAGTAAAATTTATCTATAACTAAATCGATACTTTACTTAATAATTTAAGATTTCTTTTATTCTAGAAGTATCTTTTCTAAAGATAATATTAAGTTAATCTCGTGTAATCTGTTATTTATTATTATAAAATTTGTCGAGACCATTTCATTTAAGATTTTTGAAAAAAAAAGAATTATAAATTTTAATTACTTAGCTATTATTTATTTAGGTAAGAAGTAAAATAATGATCTTTCTACAAAGAAAATGTTCATAAATAGGGAAATATCAACATTATAAGTAGATAGGAATGTTTCCACTTTCTTTAATCCTACTAAAATAATGCTATTTAAGGAGATAGTCTTATTTAGAGTAATTATGGCCATGTTGCTAAATTAGCCAAGTTTATCCAGTGAAATAGCATTAAGGAAGAAATATATTTGCTGTAACACGGATAGAAAATTGTTACAATGTCTGTTTGCTCCAGCTTAAGAATAACAAGAGAATCAATAGAAGAATTCCTATTGAGAATAAGATAAATCAAAAATAAATAAATTAAAATATAATTTCTCATAAATCTGTTACAACTAAGTAATCTGTGTTAAACTAGAGCCACGATTATTTCTACTAAATCAAATGGATTCGGTAATATTTTAGTGTGTTTAATTTAGAGAAGTATTTTCTTAAAATAAATATACTTATTTAGTCCTGAATGCCCAACAATAGTCTATCAGTCCATTTGCGAAACATCCAAATGCACTTCCATTTGAGAAGAACGAAAATTCATCAGGGACGACGTTACATGCAGAGTCATTAAAGGTCGTTTAACGGGTGTTGGACGTCATACGAAAAGAGGTGAAGACATCAAATGGCATTCACCAATTACTCTTACACAGAGTCGTAAAGCCGATGACAAAATGTGCAAATGTGGTCGCCAACCGTGCTATAGTTTTTTAATTTCCTGTCGTCGTTCTGGCGATTGATGAAGACTGTAGATATTTTGGTGTTGGTGGTCAAAGTTTCGATTTTATCTATCGAATGGTTGGATGTTTCGTGATTGTTCAACACGCGAATCAGACATTTCGATAAAGTTTCATTTAGCATTTGGTTTCAGAAGAGAAATTAATCTATCAAATGAAGAATTTGATAGTTTTAACCTTTTCACTTATTCCATTTTATATATATATATATACATTAGTATTTTTTAAAATTTGAATCTTTATGAGATTGTTATTTTATAAAATTGATTGATGTGCGTTCCTAAACATAACCAGGATTCTTCGCTGTAGATTATACACTGTCATTCCATAGCAGTCCATGCATCTCTGTCACGTCATCACTGCAAACAAA